AGTAAGCACTTCAAATACACTTTTAATACCATTTTGTAGACTAGGCCATTATACTTGTAGGATAAGAGTGTAAGTGGTAATTATTTATCTCAATTCAGTCCCTTAGACTTTGCAGCTTAAAAGTTAATATCTAAAGATAAACCTCAGACAGCCAACTTCGTGTAGTGGTTAAAACAACAGGCTGGAGAAAGAAAGACGTGTGGTCTGATCCCACCTTAGGCATGATGCCAATTGGGTGACCTTGAGGCAGTCACATTCTCTTAGACCTAGGAAGATGGCAGTGGCAAACAACTTCTGAAATCTTGGCAAGAAAATGGTAGGGACTCAATCCAGGCAGACACCAGGAGACAAGGCTGACGTGAAGGAAAAGAAAAAAAGCAGGATAAACTTGAAGCAGGCCCTTATTTAATTCACCATAAAATGTTTTGCCCATTTTCTTCACTTGCTTGCTCTTCATTCTTTATCACAGCTAATCTGTTAGATTTGAGTAAGATAAAGGTAGTTACGACCGCAAGTGAGCCCAAGCTTTCTGTTGTTAAGTGAGACATTTGTTAACTGAGTTTTGACCCATTTTATGACCTTCCTTACCACACTTGTTAAGTGAATCACTGCAGGGGATAAGTTAGTAACCCAGTTGTTAAGTGAATCTAGCTTCCCCATTGGCTTTGCTTGTCACAAGGTCGCAAAAAAATGATCACATGACTGTGGGACACAGCAACGGTCATAAGTATGTACCAGTTGCCAAGCATCTGAATTTTGATCTCATGATCATGGGGCTGCTGCAAAGATCATAACTGTAAAAAACAATTATAAGTCATATTTTTTCAGTTCTGTTGTAACTTTGAATGGTCATTAAAGGAACTGTTATAAGTCAAGGACTACCTCTAATTGGAAGGCAAAGATATGGTTCTAGGGAAAGGGAAAGGAATTATTTGTTATGCAGTTGATTTGGCTATACTGAGACTCGCTGCTAGTGAGGCAGTGGCACCTACCCAAGTTTACTGTGAACTCTTGGGCAGACTATTCTGTTCCTGTTTTTGAACAGTGAAAAAGAAAACATGTTTTTCCATTCTGAGTAGAGGATAAAAGGCTCTTTTCTCAGTGAACTTTTTGCTTTGACTCTTTACGTTGGAGAAACATTTTTGTCTGCTTAAAGATGTTTCTGTTTCATCCTTTATTATCTGTTGCTGTAGAACAGACGTTTGAGTAGTTAGAATCTTCATATGCCAATCGGGGGGAGATATTTTGAGGAAAAATATCGACACAGGCTGAGTCAACCTTGAGTTGGTCAGGATCAAAATGCTGGCAGCCGGCAGAATTAGCCTGCAATACCTCATTCTAACCACTGCGCAACCAAGGAGCCACCACAGAAGCTACTGCTTTCTTCTAGTAGATAATAGAATAATCTAAAGTATACTAGAATAATCTTTTGTGTCAAAATAAATGGGCTATATATACTGCATTGGTAATGAGACTACTGAGTATTCCAATAATTTACTGCAGGGCAAGTTAATGTGCAGTGGCTGGTGGATTTTCCTCCCGATAAGGGAAAAATCATTATCTTCTCCCTAATGTGGGTGGGGAGGGAAATTCTTATAGATGGCTAAAATGGTAGATGAGCTATCTGTCAAAACCTGATGGCGATGTGATGGTTGACAATAAAGCACAGAAGATTGGTCCCAATTATGACCACTGCAGTAGCAGCTGATTCCCTCACAGTTTACACACACACACACACACACACACACACACACACACCACCTGAGTCAGGTGCTTTCAGAATCCTTTTCTGCTTTACTCGGAAGCTACCAGCGTGTTTGACTTGACCACACATGCAGATTTTTTGGAAATAAAAGTGTGAAATCTCTCTCTACAGCCAGCATTGCAACCGCACACAACCCTACAACATGTCTGCAGATTGCCAGTGACACACTGGCTCAGTGAGAAATGAACTTCCTGCTTTAGCCAATGCAGCTGTTCTGTTTGCTCTGCCAATCCATACACAGCCGTATGGAGACCAGAGGGGAGATCCCACCATTTTCTACATTGTTAGCTTAGTCACAATACAGCAAAGCTTACACTAAGAAGAAATGACTGTAGTTCAACTGTAGTTCAGAAAAATTACAAAGCCAGATGATATTACAAGAAAGAAACTTGTGTCCTATTAGCTACTCAACTTGAATGAAATATATATAAAAGTTGCCTTCTGGTTGTATTTTTCCCCCATGAATTTGCCTTATCTTTCAAAAAGGAAATGTTGCTGTACTATGTACCTTAAGACAATGAATTTAATGTGCTTTTTTTCTTCATATTTTATTAAGAAATACTGAATATAAGCACTTCATGGTTTTGCTCAGAAATGCATAGTTTTAGATGAAGCTGTTCAACTAGAAGATATTTTTTGAAAAAAACCTAAAGCACTGGAAACTAAAATTAGTTTTGGTTTCCAAAGCTAATTTCTAAAGGTTCTTTGCTTTTATGTATTTTTTTCAGCCAACACTGTTTTCCATATTTTAGTTACTATTGATCCAAAGGAAGAGATTTCTCACATTTCGGGGTTTTGCAATGGGAGAGCTTGCAATTAACAGAAAACAATAGAATTATTTTTTATGCTACAGTTGCAATGAAAAAAAAAATATAGTTGAATTAATTGACACAGATTTCTGAGTAATTTTACCAATTTCCTCAAAACCTTTGCCCTAAATGAGTAACTAAATGAGCATAGCCACCAGAGATGGTATTATGTACCAATTTGATTACAGTTCTCATTTTTCTTAAGATTATATAAATCTTCATTCCCTAAATTATCTTTTATGTAAAATATAAAGTACTTTTCTTTGCTCAGAACCTAGCTGTACCCATGTCTCAAGTTCAGGCATTATTATAAGAAGGAAAAAAACAAATCTGCATGCACACATACATACATACATTCTATAATTTTTAAAAAAACTCAAGGCAGCAACTATACTTCTCTCTCCTATTTTCCCCACAACAACAGTCCTGTGAAGTGAGTTGGGCTGAAAGAAAATGACTGATTCAAAGTCACTCAGCCAGCTTTCGTTTTCAACATTAGCTATAACCCTTCTATGATATTCTCCATTCCCTCCCTCCCCTCTGTTAAATATTGGGATTTTTTAATAGTATTTCCATTCTATAAATGGAAAACAAAATTTCTGGTAATTTTGGCTATTTATCATGAGTGTTTTACTAGTTTAAGGATACTTTGTTATTTCTTAACAAAATTAAAGTACAATGTTTTTTATAATAACCATATATTTAATGTCTTTAATTATTTCATCTTTCTTTCCCATTCATACTTAATTTTTTTAATCTTGTCATGAAGTCAGCCTTAAAATATGCTCAGTTTTCTGTCAGAAACAATAGTTTTCACTTGACCTCCATGGTATCAACTGGGGGCTTCCCACAGGCCACTTTCATTCAAGTCTTCAATTTTACTCTTTGTGATGATTTTATTTACAATTGACTGGAATAAATATGTAAAAATAACTGGTAACTCTGCATGTTGCTTCTATTTATGTCTCCTGACAGTTGGTTTATTGACAGATACAGACTCGCTGCAAATGGTTACGCACATATGCAGTAGTTATAAAGCTTTTCTTCTGAAGAAGAAATATTCTGAATAAAGTTTACTTTCCCTTTCTCCTTTTTCTTTTTCCATAGGGTTTTGGCTAGTATGGACGATCATCATCATTTTGAGTTGTTGTTGTGTCTGCCACCACCGACGCGCCAAACACAGACTTCAGGCACAACAAAGGCAACATGAAATTAACTTGATTGCTTACCGTGAAGCTCATAACTACTCCAGCCTGCCATTTTATTTCCGTATGTACTGCATGCAAGGAGTAGCTGTCTTCAAAGACCAAGACCAAAATATTGCTATATTGAGAGGAGACATGACTACAAGAGGGTTCCCCCCCCCCCAAAAAAAAAAACAAAAAGTGACAGGAATGGTACAGAAAGGTTGGTTGATAAGGAGAGAGTGCAGGTTAATAATATCCTGAGAGACTGCACCCTATCCTTTCTAGCAATTTGACTGTTCTAGTTGAAGCTGGCTAACCTTTATTGATGTAGGCAAAATTTAAGTTGTATAGGTGACTGACTGAAAAACAAAGATAAAACCATGAGCTAACTTTGTATCAAGCATGGTAAAGGTATATTTCTTTTTGAATTATCTTTCAGATCTACTGTAAAAAGGAACAAAAAGCATATTTGCTGATTAGTCTGAACAAAATCAGTAGCAGTAATAAAAGCTGAGCTGTTTTTATTTTTTTAGTATTTTCCCTCTGTGACTAATACAACATCAGTGTCATGGAGCTATTATAAAAAGGAGCTGCCATATATCACTAGAATGCAAAAGGATCTAGATATTTGAAATCTGTTGTTATTAGTATTTGTAATAGTGTCTGATGCCACTTTTCTATCTGTGTTTTACTAAAAAATGTAGACATATATTTAGTAAATCAAGAGCAGGCAGTCTGAGAATTTCCAGTGTTCCTCAGTGCAATTACTATACATCCCATATAATATCACAGTTTATGAGAACTATGACCCCAAATATCTGCAGGATATCAGTGTTAAATTTGGTAAGGGGTAAGAAAGGGAAATATGGAAAGAAAAAGTAAGTAAAGGGAAGGTACTTACATGTCAAGTTTATTTCTGAGAAATACCATAGTTAAAGGGATCTCTAGTTTTACAATAGATGGTAAGATATCTATATATTTTCTTTTCCTCTCCAGAATTTTGTTTAGTCATGAGCCGGATAATTAATTTAGCATCACTGGTATTAAAAGCCACTTAAATTGCTTGTATGAATTCTGGGTTTGAATATTGCCTGCATGTTACAGCATAAGCAGTTTTTACTTCCTAAATAAAGTAAGAAATTGAGATTTTTGTAAAAAATAAAATAGCTAGAAATGTACTTATATAGAACAAAACGGGTCTTGTGATTTAGATTTCAATGTGATTTAGATTTCATCTATATAGAAATATGGAAGTAACTTGTCCTCCCTACCTCCCCATTTAGGATTTTTGCCAAATTATTTACTACCTCCCTATGAGGAAGTGGTGAATCGACCTCCAACCCCTCCCCCACCATATAGTGCCTTACATCAGCAATGCATTCCACCTGGCAATGGCAGTACAGCACCAGATACAAGAAACCTACAGCCAGCTCAGGCAGGCACGCTGTCAGGAGCAGAAAGCAATAATGAAAATATGGACAGCACTGCCTCTCCAAGCATCGGGCATTCGGAATCCGCCAGTCCACCAGTTGAACGATCAACTTCCAAAGCAACATGTGGTGAACCAAGGAATTCCAGCAGCAGAATGGAATTAGAAGATGAGGTTGACCATGTATCTACTTCTGATAAGGAGCCAGAGTGCAAGGAAGAATTGCTTAAGGATTACAACTCAGAAAGCTTAGATCAAAACAGTGCTTTTTCAGATGCTAAAGACAAGACACCAGGCAGACACCGAAGGTTTACCGGAGATTCAGGCATTGAAATCTGTATCTGTAACCAGGACCACCATGATAATGATCTCAAGGAGTTAGATGGGTTCATTGATGATGGATCCATGGACTTCTGTGATAGTTGCAGTGGCCATCCACCCCATGGAGATGAGGAAGAAGGGCTTGTCAGTGCTTCAGATGAACAGCATGGAGAGCACAACCATCACCACCTCTCCAGACAACCTGTGTGTGTGCTCCTGAACACCATAAATGAGCAGGACTCTCCAAACTCTTATACCAATACATCTCCCAGCTAAAACAACATCAGAAGGGAAGATCTACAAAATGATAAATAAAACCAAAACCAAATTGGTTCATCTTTTTCTTCAGATGTAACTATGGGAATAATTTAAAATCTGTTCAGAAGGGGGCAGATGTGTTTAGGCTTTTCTTTTCTTCTTTTTGTGCTAAAATTGCCTCTTCTGTCCTCTGACTGGTTAGAGACTTGATTTAAAGTGTGATCATTTATATAGAGAGAAAAGGGGAAAAACACTTCCTATTGCTGATTTTGGTGATGGTTTATTTGGTTGGTTGTCACCTTAAAAGTTTTCAGGATCTGCTTTATGTTCTGATCAGAAACTTTAAACTAGTGAGAACAAGGAGTACTAACTAGTGTTTTACACCCCTCTCTTCCCCCCCCCCGTCTTATTAGTGTATTCCCCCCCACCCCCTTTTTCAGGTGTCTTCCCAAAGCCTGTGGCATTTGATAGCCCTGGCAATACGTTTAGGTAGTATGGAGAAGTTAGGTACTATGGAGAAGTTGAAATAAACTCCCCAAAGACCGGGTTGTTACGGTTTTTGCTTTTAGCCAATAGAATGCATCTCTGGTGCATTTTGATTACAACAGTCTGTAATAAATGTTTTCTTCTTGAAGCTGGTAAAGGACCAGTTTCTTTCAAAAACAAAACCGTTAGCCAAAAACACAGCATTTATGCAAGAGGGGCCTTCAGACATTTTGCCCTTTATTTTATTTTTAAGGCAAATGTGTAGCTATAGGTTGAGACTCCTTGAAGAAGTTCTCCTTTTCCAGTACTTGGTCTTTACGTAACTTGCAACTAGTATGCTGCAGTGCAAAAGGACAGGGGCGTTGCAATTTCAGACCAGCACACTAGTTAAAAATGACAAAACCAAAACATACAAAAGAACAGGGCTGTCTTCAGGTGCCTTCAGATTTCAGCGATGCTTTTTGAACAAATGGAGAAATCAATTCATTGCAAATGGATAATTTGCAACATTAATGTGGAAGACCTGTGCAGTATTTTCTTTCCTTAGTCCAAAAGTTAGTATGATTCTAACAAGTGACCACTTAAAAGAACTGAGTGTCTGTGTCTCGCTCTCTTGAAAGCGGCACAGGCTACTGTACAATGTATGTGAGTATGTGTGTGTGTGTGTGTGTGTGTGTGTGTGTGTGTGTCTGCATGTGTGTTTCCTACTGGTAAGATGAAATTTGCTGCTGTAAGACTGCAGGAAAAAAAAAAGACTGTTGCTTTGCTTTAACCAAACAATGGAAGTTTTGTTAGTAACACCACCAAAGGGAAGGGGAAGAAACTCAGAACAACTGAAACTAACATTCCTCGGAGTGTTCCTGTGGAAGAGACCAACCCTTGGTTTCTATATTAAGTGTGATGGACATCTCTTTTTATTTTCCCCTTTCCCTTTTTCTTGAATTACGGTTGTCTGGGTCATTTATTGTTATAAAATAGACTTTCAGATTTGATTGTTTGAACCAAAATTGGTTTGAAATATGGTGTAAACCCAAATATAATGCCTTTTTTCTGATAATTCCTTGTGTTTCATTTTCTTTGGGAAAAAATAGAACAGAAACATCACAATGAAAAATGTTTTGTTTACATTTGATCAAGGAATTCTGATCATAATACAGAGTAAAGTAGATAGAACTTAATGCTTAACAGATATACTGTCAGTAGCAGATATCCATTTATATACAGCTATACAGTGAAAATAGCAATACTGTAGAAGCCAGAGCTGCACCTTTTCACTAGACTATTCTTCACATCTTGCTTACTGCCATGGGAAAACCAGGGCAAATAAGTTGATATCAAATGTCTTACTTTTGGAAGAATATTTTTATTTATTTATGAATTATGCAGAAGTAGAAAAGAAACCTGATGTTATTTGTTTTAATATTTGTTCATCAGTGATCAAAATCCCACTGTAACTTTATGGTTTGAATTGCATTACATTAAATTGCTTGGTGACATTGAGTTTAATTTCATACCCAGAAAAATCTAGATAGAACATTACTAGCTATCATGATTTATATATAGTTAATTAATGGAAATGGACAATTGGGATGGATAGAATTTCATTTGCATCAAAGCTGTTTTACATTCTGGTCTTTTGGTGCGTACCTGCGCTATTATGGACTTTAGAGCCATATCCAGCCATTTTATGCATATATCATTTGGCCTAATAATTGAAGAGAGCAGTACTGAAGCAAATCACAAACTAACCTGTAAGATGGTAAGACACTCTGGTACTCTGTGAGATTTGATTCTATTTCCTAATAAGACCACAATTATTATAGTATATGTTAAGTGCTATATTTGTATACACAAAATGCTGTATCCACAATACAAAATGAGAATGTAGCAGATAGTTGTTTGAGAAAATGCATTATCAAGTCATCTCTCCCCCTCTCCCTCCGTGTGTGTGTGTGTGTGTGTGTGTGTGTGTGTGTGTGTGTGAGAGAGAGAGAGAGAGAGAGAGAGAGAGAGAGAGAGAGAGAGAGAG